AGGATATGTAAGACTCCTTTGTGTTGGTATGAGTCAGGCGAGAGTGTTATGCTCAGACCTGAGATTGTTCACCAGACGATTGAAAAGATCAAGAGGATCCAAGAAAAGATGAAAGTTTCATAGATTCGTCAGAAGAGTTACCATGACAAGAGGAGGAAAGCACTTGAGTTTTAAGAGGGAGATCACGTGTTTTTGAGAGTTACGTCGGTAAATGGTGTTGGACGAGCTTTGAAGTCCAGAAAGCTCACACCGCGTTTTGTTGGTTTGTATCAAATTTCACAGAGGGTGGGAGAAGTGGCATATAAGATTGATTTACCGCCGTCGCTTGCGAATTTTCATGATGTGTTTCATGTGTCTCAGTTGAGGAAGTACATTCCAGATTCGTCACATGTGATTTAGATGGATGATGTACAAGTGAGAGATAATTTGACTGTTGAGGCATTTCCAGTTCGGATTGATGAACGAGAAGTGAAGCAACTGCGAGGTAAAGAGATTTCCTTGGTAAAGGTAGTTTGGGGAGGACCAGCTGGAGGGAGTATGACTTAGGAGCGTGAGGATCAGATGAGGGAGTCGTATCCGACTCTGTTTCTTTGAGGTGATTTTCGAGGGCGAAAATCATTTTAAGTGGGGGAGATTTGTAACACCCCAAATTCTTGAAATATTTATTTAATTTATTTAAATATGAATATTCACATTTGTGGTGATTTTTGGTGGTTGGTGTGAATATAGGGAATTATGGATTTTGAGTTATTTATTTAAATAATAGTATATAATATGAATATATTGATATTATTATTAATTTAAATGAATATAAGTGAATTAAGGGCAAAGTGGACATTTGAGGAGGAGTTCGTGAGGGTGAAATTGGAAAGCCCATTTTAAGGCTCAAAGTTAGGTTTAACAAAAAAGAATTTTGAGGGAATTAGGATTCATTCTTGTTAGACCGTGAAAAGGGAAGAAATAGAGGCCAAAACTCTGAGGAAGAAGATTGAGGCAAAGCTTCGCGAGATTTCCAAGAATCAAGGAGAAAGGCTTAGAGTCGGCAATTAAGGTATGAGGAGTATTGCTTTCATTGTTTTCAATATGTGATTCAATGTGTTTAAAGTCGATTTAAAGGTTTAGGAATTTTTTAGTATTGGATTGTTGTTGCCTTTCTGGTAATGAGTTCAATGAGTTTGAGGGATTTGAACTGATGTTCGGATAGGTTTGAGGCTGATTTTAGAGTAAGGGGAATTATGCCTTCGTGGCCAAATCTGTTGTTGAGGTTGTTTAACCGTATAGGGTAAGTGATTGTGAGAACTTTAATGACTGTGGGGTATTTGTAAGAAATTATAGGAACTGGAGGCGTAAATATGATACGGGATTGGCCTAATAAGTCATAGATTTTGTGCCTTTATCCCCATAATACCTTAGGAGTGATTTAGGGATGTTTTTAGGGCATTGGGGAAGGAAATTATAGAGGTTTTTGAGCTGGTTTTGATGCTGATGCATAACAGCGATTTGCTGTAATCGTGAGTTCGCACAGTGAAGAATCCTTCGCACGACGAACATTCTCCTCAGACTCGCACAACGAACTTGCTAGCGAACGTAGCAGAGTTTTGCGAATTCTGATCTTGTGGAGTGATGTCTTTATGTTTTGATGTTGTAATTTATTTGATAAATTACCATGAGTATACTATGTTTTGATCTTGTGGAGTGATTAAATTTGGGGTGTTATAAGTGCCTAGTCTCGTTCGAACTCCATGTGGGAGTCAAGTGGAGATAAGTTGTAGTTCAGAGGAACGTATACGACTTATCTGGATTTCGACGGGAATCGAGTTCAAAGAGTGAACCATATGGATTGTGATGGTACCATATGCATTGTGTCAAGTCAGTTGAGTCGCATTGCATATGTGTATGATTGAACGTGGAATGAATATGCCGAGTGTTAATGTGACACTTATATGTGCGTTGTGAATGTTTGATTGGTGTGAATTGTGTGAATTACTACTCCTTAGCATGTGATTTTCACCGTATAATTATTGAATGCAATTCTTACCCCTTTTCTGTTGTTGTGTCTGTGCTTTTTGGGGAGTACAGATAATCAGGTACATGAGTAGTACTTGGAACATGTGTTGCTATTGATCGAATCTTATGAGTTGCTCTTATACATAACACGGGAAAGATGGGGATTCCGTTATTCTTTATGATGTTTTCTAATTGTTACGTATCTTGATTTTGTTTAATGATGTTAAACCACAAATTTGTGGAATTTGATGTAATTGGAGTCTTAGTGCTGAACTAATTGAATATTCCGTTATTTAATTAATTTATTTTTATGAAGAAATAAAACATGAAGTGACTTGATGCTTTATGAGTTTTACGCTGATGTAGCATCCTATGTGTGTAACTCTGATTTTTCCACAAACTATTTTCGTATTTTTATCTATTAATCGTATAGGGAGAGTAGGGTGTTACACACTGAGATTGAGAAATCAAGTCTTTCCACTTCTTAATCAAGCCAATGCCTGAATGAATGTCATCAAGACCAGATAAATTTTTTGAACTTCTAACTTTTCATCTAAACCCCTGATGAATGCCTTTGATTGAAAGAAGGTATGACAAAATGAATGATTGCACTATGCAAATGCAAGTGAAGAAAAACTTAGGATATAATTTAGAGTATGACAATTGCCCCTATTTAAACATCTTTAACTAGCAGATATGAAGAACTCTTGTCTTCAAATCAACATGGTGAAAGATAGTTTAAATATCGAACAGACCCAAATTTTTTCCTTTTATGCAATAGAATGATATGCTTAAGGTTAAGAATGAATACAAAGAGGTTAAGAAATACTCTTGACTCCTTAGAAATGAATGAATTCATAAATACTCTCGATTTCTTAATCATTAGATGATAATGATGTGGATGCAACAATATTTAGTAAATACTATTGATTTCTCAATCGTCAGGTGATATGAATTAATGCAATGTAGGTTAAGAAGTAATCTTGACTCCTAAAAATGAATGTAAATGGATTAAGAAATAATCTTGATTTTCTAATCATGAGATGAGAATGATGTGAATGTTAAGAAGTTCTCTTGACTCCTTAAAGATAAATGCAACAAGATTAAGAAATACTCTTGATTTCTTAATCATAAGAATGCTAAGATGTACTCTTGACTTTTTAATAATGAATGTAGATGAATTAAGAAATGCTCTTGATTTCGTAATCATGAGAATGTTAAAAAGTACTATTGACTCCTTAAAAATAAATGCAAATGAATTAAAAAATGATGTTGATTTCTTAATAACGAGAATGTTAAGAAGTGTTATTGACTCCTTAATCATAAATGCAACAAAACTAATAAATACTCTTGATTTCTTAATCATGAGAATGTTAAGAAGTGCTTTTGACTCCTTAAGCATGAATACAACTGAATTAAAAAATACTCTTGATTCCTTAAATTCTATGCGAATGAATTAAGAAATCCTCTTGATTTCTTAATGATATGAATGAGATAAGAATCAATCTTGATTTCTTAAATTCTATGCGAATGAATTAAAAAATACTTTTAATTTCTTATGATATGAATGAAATAAGAAATACTCTTTATTCCTTAACCATGAATGCAAATGTATTAAGAAATACTTTTGATTTCTTAGATGCTATGCAAATGAAATAATAAATACTCTCAATTTCTTAATCTTGAATGTAAACGATCTAATAAATGTTCTTGATTTCTTAGATGTTATGCAAATTAAATAAGAAATACACTCGATTTCTTAATCATGAATGTAAATGAACTAATAAATGCTCTTGATTTTTTAGATGTTATGCAAATGAAAGAAGAAATACTCTCAATTTCTTAATCATGAATGTAAATGAACTAACAAATGTTCTTCATTTCTTATATGCTATGCAAATTGAAATAAGAAATACTCTCGATTTCTTAATCATGAATGTAAATGAACTAAGAAATGCTCTTGATTTCTTAGATGATATACAAATTGACTGGGGATTAGAGAATCATGTTCAACTGCTTTTGATTAACAGTAGACCTCCGGGGATAGAAAAAATCATATCCAGCTGCTCTTGATTGAAGATAGACTCCTCTTTAAAAAATCATGTTCAACTACTCTTGACCGACGATAGATTTGACTGACCATGCTCCACTACTTCTTACTAACAGAAGATCCAACAAACATGTAAATATGTTAGACAACTCTGTAGGGGATGAATTTGTTACAAAGAGCATACTCGTATGTTCTTCGAATGTTCTTCTTTGAAGGTAGACTCTTGGGGAAGAAATGATTATATTCAGTTGCTCCTGGCTAAAGATGTCATATTCAGCTACTCTTGGATGAAACTATTACATTCAATTGCTTTTTCTTGAAGCAAATCTATACAAATACAATATCCAATTGCTCTTGGCTGAAACTAATATATGCAAATGAATGTATCCAATTACTCTTGGTTGAAAACATCTTATTCAACAACTCTTAGCTGAAATTATTACATTCAACTAGTCTTGATTGAAACAAATCTGCTATAAAATAAGTAAAAGATTCATTGAAATAACAGTATATTCAACTCCTTTTAACTGATAATACACTTCTCTAAGGAATAACCACAATTTAAAATATAATAGGATTTTTAAAATTTTACAATTGACATGTAAAAACAATTTAATAATATAGCACCACATAATAAGAGCCAAATAATAAATTGAAAAGTCAATTATATCTACGACTAAAATGAAAATTAAAAAAAAAATCAAAACTAAAATTAAATTTAAATTTATTAATAAATTTTTATCAAGATTTTTTCTCGTTGAATAAAAGAGTCTTGATAAAAATTTGTTAATAGATTTTATAAACTTAATTTGTTATATAAATTATAAATAATGAATAAAGAACCGCCAAGTAATAATCAAACGTAAAAATCGGCATTATCATCCATAAAATCGAAGGGTTTTAGGTTGAAGAAGGTGTGTGCTCGGTTTCGAGTGTAGCAAGAATGGGGAAAGAAGGAGATCTATGGGACGATTCAGCTCTCATCAACGCTTTTGATGACGCTATCTCTTCTTACAAGGTTCCTTTTCTTCGCAATTACCATTTTCTCACTTTTTTTCGTACTCGAATCCGGTTTCAATTTGACCTAATTTCGCCCCTTTTACTATCAGAAAATGCACATCACCTCAAAAAACAAAGAAGCAGAGGGGATCATCCAAGAAAACGTTGAAATCTCAACTCCTACAAGGTAGAATCTATTTTAACTTAGAAAATAATCATTTTTTGTTTTTCTGCATCATTTTTCATAATCTATTTTTGCTTAATTAGTGATGCTGAAGCGAAAATTAACATTCCCGCTACTGATTCAAGTGAAATTAGTAAAGTTTCAAACTTGGAAGAAAATCACCAACCTTGTTTAGATTCAACAAATGGTCAAGACATTCAAATTGCACATAATGGTTATTCATATGGGCGAGAATTTGATGATTATAGTCAGTTAGTTGGTCAGTACTATGAACTTGAGGAGAAAAGATTGAAGATTTTGGACCAAATTAATCAATATGGTAGTTTGAATTACCAACATGTACCCACTGTGTCTGATTCTGGTGTACCGTATTCTAATGCTCAAGATTATTGGATGCCTATGCACCAAGTTTCCGATCCGTATGTTGTCTGTTCGTGTTGTCCGGATTATAGTCAATGTGCTTTGGCTTCGTCCAAGTTGGTTCCTGGCTGTTCTGTTGGTAAAACATGTGCTGGTAAACATTGTAAAGATGGTAAAATTCGGGAAATGGCAGTGGGGGCAGCAGAGAGGGCACTTTCTACTATAAGAAGAACTATTTCTGGAGATCTGAATGTAAATGAAGGTAAATATTTCTTCCTTAAGGAGACAGGTGCATGAATAGCTTAGTTGCTGTTAAGTTAATTGATATCAGTTGATAACATTGCTTTTCAATGCTTTTGTTACTGAATTTTTGGCTACTTTCATGGTATCACTTATCCATGCTTTTGTTATTGAAATGGCCAAATTTTTGGTTATATGAACACTTCTGAGTTGAAAACTGGAATTGTTTTGTTTTCATCTAAAGCAACATTTTGTTGCTCTGGAACTAAAATCCATGTTAAATGCTCCTGGCTTCCTTTGTGTCTTCAGAGTTCAGATATTCCTTGGCTTTGAACAATGTGCATTCTTTATGTGATCCTGGATCTATTCTGTGCATTGATGGCTTATAATGTACAGCGCGTGCATATTTTGTGATCTTTGTGCTTGCATCAGTTGAAATTGTGTGCTGGTGTTTGTGTCATATACTGCTTCTTATTTACTGTTATGTAATTTGATGAATTAAAACATGAATTTATTTCTGATTTAGCCATGGAAGTTGTCATCGTTCAATGTTCGTAGAAGCATGGTGTTGGCTGTACTAATGCTTAACATGCTGTATTATTAGTTCTTTTTTTCTTAGATTTTTTGTCTAGTTAAATAGCTTTACCGAGTTCAAAGATATTCTTGGGCGCATATAAATATTGTTGTGATATGTGATTATTCCATTAATTCAGAGAAAGAGAGTAAGAATCCTGAACCTGAACAAATTGGTGACTCAGAAACGGATCTTACAACTCTTATGAATGCTTGGTATTCTGCTGGCTTCTTTACTGGGAAGTAAGTTTCTGTCAAAGTCTTATTTGTTATAAACTTCAGCTCATTTTTTTTAGTTATACAAGAGAATTTTTCTAGCATGTTGTTATGTAGCAGATGATTGATGAGTTTTTATTTGTATTACTTTACCAAAGTAAAAATACGTAACTGGATTGTTGTCGCATTATTAATTAGGTTGAGCTTGGTTGACCAAACTCTTTAACTGCTGCTTTAGTCAAAATGAAATGTAATCTTCACTTTCAAACAGTGTTTAGCAAGATACCCAGCTGATGTATTATTTCAATGTTAAACAAACTTAATTTGCATGCCTGTCTCGTTTATTTGCACTATGTACACTTGGCCGTTTTTAGATAAACCTCTTAATTAGGCTCTTCCTTACTGTATAAGGGCTTATGCCTAATTGATTTTTATAACAAAAGTTGAAATAAGGTCAAACTGTTTCCATATAAGCTACAAGTCATTGTCATAAGTTATCTGCCATTCAAAAACAAATAAAAAATTCATAAGCTATCCTGGAGAGATTGTGGAAACAAGTTGTAAACAACTTTATAGACATGTCATAAATTATAACATAAGCTCCTCCAAACAATCTCACAAGTGTTTATGCCAATAAATAAACTCAAATAAGAAAATCTGAACAGGTTCAAAATGCATTTAATTGAAGTGTGACATTGATACTTAAAGAAGTGTAGTAGTTACTTCTTCAAAAGCTGTTTGGTTTTATGATTTCTGAGCTTTTTGCCTTCTGAAGGAATATCTACCCACATCCTCTCCTCTGTATAATGATTAAAGTTATAATGATAACAGGTATCTTGCTGAAAAATCTAGTGGAAATAAAAGACAGGTATAAATTCCGAGATGCTAAATCTGCAAGTGTAATCAGAAGGGTTCCCCTCATATTCTGAGGAGTTAGGTAACTGATCTACATTTTTGCATCTTCGCAAAACCAAGAGTGTCAGTATTCTTATCTAACTGGAATCACATATGACTATGGCTCATGTGACAACTGAAGAGAATGAAAGCAATGACACTATTGCTAGTTGATGTAGTTGAAGACAACTCTTTGACTGGCAGTAACTTCATGATTTTCTTTCTTTTGTTGAAGAGTAGCTTTATGTTTTTGTGGATGGTTTATTTGCCCAATGTTAATGATATAAGAGGAATCCATGTGAAAATTTGTCATAGCTAAGCGCATTGCTGCCAACAATTTTTTTTTTATGCAGATGATGGTTTGTTTTAACTTGCTTTCATACCTTCACCCTCTTGCTTTTGATGTTGCCAATCAAATATACACATGTAGGGCCTGGTTGATTTGGATATATAAAACTGATTTTTAGTTTTTAAAATTTTAAAATTATAAAACTTGTTTGGTAGTATAGTTTTACAAAATAATTTTTGATCTATTTGAAAGTTTAAAAAAAAAAAAAAAACTAAAATAGGTTTTTGGAGGTCTGTTTATTTTGATTTTTTGTTTTGAAAATTAAGAAGAGTACAAAAATTTTTAAAAAAATGGCACACATTTCATTAATGGTAAATTTGTAATATTGTTTAACTTTAAAATAATTTTTAAAATTTAAATTATCAAATATGATATTTTTTTTCAAAATTCTTTATAAAAATTGATTTACAAAATAGTTTTTAAAATAGAAACTAGAACTCATTCAAATGGACGTTAAAAAACTAAAATAGGTTTTTGGAGATTTTTAGTTTTTAATTTTTATTTTCGAAATTAGGAAGAATAAAAAAAATTGGTGCACTTTTTATTAATGATAAATTTGTAATATTATTTAACTTTAAAATAATTTTTAAAAATTAAATTATCAAATATTTTTTTTAATATCTTTTTCTACAAAACCTAAAAAAAAAATTTACAAATAAGTTTTAAAAATTAGATTATCAAACATGTTTTCTTTTTATTTTTTTTCTTCAAAACTCTTTTTTAAAATTTACTTATTAAATAATTTTTTAAAATTAAAAATTAAAACTCATTTAAAAAATTTTTAAATAACTAATACATTGATTATTAAATGAACTTAAAAAATAAGTTGTCTTTTATATAAAAGAACGAAGGTAGTATAAATTATTATTTAGACGACCTTTTAAAAAGGTTACCGTTTTAAAAATTATAATAATTAAATATTTTATCAAAAGAAAAATCTAATTGATTTTGTCATTGACTATAATAATTAATATAAAAATATTTATAATAATTAAATCGTTTAAAATTTTAATGATTATAATTAATTGATAAAGAAAATTAAAATTTACTAGAATGTACACATCAATTAAAGTCATTTATAAATTGTTATTAAATGATATAACAAATTAACATGTCTTAGTTGTAGCATTAAAATAAGTCATTAGAACACGTATAAGAATTTGCTCGATTGTCAACTGCATAAAATAATGTTGGTCATATTGTAACATTCAAATACGAGGTTGTTTTTTTCACCCTTAGTGGTTAACAGTCACTTTAATGAAATTTGAGATTGCCCTTTCAAAAAATCTGAAAAATGTATAGCTAGACGCACCTAAAACATCCTTACCTCATTCATGTCTTATACTCTGGACACTAGGATTTTTCACAATATTTCTCTAGGCACTCTATCATACGCCTTCTCCAATTCAATAAAAATTAAGTGCAAATCTTGTTGGTCAATCTGATACTACTCTATCACTCGTCATAGTAGATAAATCGCTTCCATGTTTGACCTACCAAACATAAACCAAATTGATTTTCGGTGACTTAAGTCTCTTTTCTTATTCTCCGTTCAATCACTCTTTTCTATAACTTCATGGTATGACTCATAAGTTTGACCCCCTATAATTTGCACAATTTTGTATATCTCTCTTATTCTTATAGATCGAAGCTAAAGTGTTTATTCTTCATTCATTCGACATTTTCTTTGACCTCATAATTCGTTGAAGAGTTCGGTGAGTCACTCAATACCTCTATCTCCAAGAACTTTCCACACTTCAATAGGTATGTTGTCTGGTCTAACTGCCTTACTGTTATTCATCCTTTTCAACACTTCTTTGACCTCTTGCTTTTAAATTCGATGATAGTAATTATAGTTTTGATCCTCTTTTCTAATGTCGAGTATGCTAGAGTATGATGATATATAACATCCTTCATTAAATAAATCATAAAAATTCACCTTTCACCTATCATTTATATCCTTTTCCTTGAACCAAGATTTTGCCTTCTTCATCTTTAACACACGTCACTTGATCCAAATCTCTTGTCTTTGTTCCTCTTTTCTTAGCAAGCCTATATATAGATTTCTCTCACTCCTTGGTTCATAATGATATGTAAGGTCTGTCAAAAGTTTGAATTCTTCCTTCACTTACTGCCTTCTTGGTATGGCTCTTAGTTTTCTAATAATTTTCTCATGTTTTGGCATTTTCCCATGATAGACATGCAACCAAAATATTAACGACTTAATTAAACAAGTGAAACCATTTCATTATACACAGAAATAATATGTTGGTTTCGTTTTTGAAAGAACACTTTCAAATCTAGTCCTGATGTGAAGGTGAGAAAAATACACAAGAAGGGGGTTGAATTATGTTTTCCGTTTTTTTACTTTGCCTTTGATCCGAGTTCAAAATCTAAACTGATGTTCAGATTCTGATTAATACGTGCAACGGAATTGTTAACTGAAGAAAATAAATAACAACAAAACACCCAAAGACTTATCATGGTTCCTCCCAATTGAGAGTAGTCTAGTCCTCTTGCAGCACAAGATATTTTCACTATAATTAAAACATGATTACAATTTCTTATGCACAAGACTTTTCTTTGCTCAGACCCTCAGCCTAAAACTTCTTGCTTAAACCCCTCAGGTTCAAGACTTCCTGCTTAAACCCCTCAGGCTCAAGACTTCTACTCAGTCCCGCAAGTCCAAGACTTCCTTTCTCAGGTTCTGCGAACCCAAAACTTCCTTACTTTAGGGTTTAGGGTTTCAAGCCCAAGACTTCTGCTCATGGCCACAAGTACAAGACTTTTTCTCAGACCGTAGCCTAAGACTTCTTGCTCAATCAACAACTGATTAAGACTTTCGATGTTCTAGCACAAAGCAGGAGACTTACTTGGCTCAAGCTTCTCAACAAGAGACTTTGATGCTCAAGCACATAGCAAGAGACTTTATCTAAACTGCTAAATAACATGTTCAGCAGAATAGAGAACAAAGTGTACTTGATACAAGATCTGAGGTACAGGGCAATCACCATAACAAAGACCTAAAACGCTTAAGATTTCTAAGATATTCAATGTTTAAGAAATCTTAAGACTTTGTACAATTTACTACATATAAGAGAATTTATGCATACTCGATTGTCTTAGTTATTGTTGATCTTGTTATTCCTCCATCTAGATAGAAGTGTGGAACACTTCTATCCTTCTTGAATTTCCTTCTATTTTTTATTCCTTATGCCTTCTTCCTTGTTGAAAATTCAGATTGAATCTTCAGTTACTTATATAGCGGTTGTAGAAGACTAGTCGTTGGAAGAGATAACTTGATCAAGTGTCTTTCCTTCTCTATAGTACAAGAGACGTTGAAGATAAATACACCAAAATATCTTGATCCATTGTGTAACTTGTTTAACCATTGTGTCTTCCATGAAATCTTGTATTATAGATCCGTCGGGAGTAGATATCCGTAAAGCATGTCAACTCTTCTTGAGCCTTGTGAACTTAGACTCTAGCTGACAAACTGATTTGACAATGCAGCTTGCTTTCAACAGTACATATAGCTTTAGTTTTATTATTAACTCTGAATGATCACCAGAAGCTGATACATTCACTAAGTGTAGAGACAACATGTTGCTCTTCTGATGCTGATGCCTTTAACTTCAGAGTCTACGCCAGACATCACATAGAAAGTGTTCTTCAAAATATGAACCACCATAGGATAGAAAATGAGCTTCTCTCAAATGCGTTCTCATATCAGATTCTGAATATATATCTTTGAGCTTTAGAACCTGCATACTTAGAACACACATTAGATAACACCATTGTTGTTTTAATACTTTGTATCATCAAAACTCAAGAGATATATGTCACACAAAAATCTTGTTCTAACAATTTCCTCCTTTTTATGATGACAAATACAATTATTTAAAGAGCAGTTGGGCTATTTTAATTCTGGAATGCATTCATCGTAGACTAGTATCCAGTTCTTCTGACTATGTCAACACAAATCAAAAGTTTATGTTGTACTTTCTGATGAAGGGAGAACCGATGCACCTGCCTTCCATTCTTTTCAAACACCTCAGACATGCTGTCAAAAAAACCAGAAACACCGTGAAACCAAAAAACTACATTCCTCTAGGCACACTCATATCATACATTCCTATCGAAAATGGTCTTGTAGATCATTTAATCCGTCTGAAATTGATGGATGATGTTATATTGGATACTGGAAAGCCTTTGAATGGAAGAAATCTCAAAATCATGGGCATCATTGATAAATTTTTGGTTAAGCCAACTATTCCTACAGATTGGGAAAGTCTAAAGGATAAAAGGTTGGTTGTTGAGGAATTTCCTCTTTTCACCAAGATGGACTCACCAGAAGCTATTGAAGAATATCTCAAACTGCTTAAAGCTGAAGGCCATGATGTATCTGGATTCTCTTATGATGATCTTCTAGACGTTCCTCCTAATATGATGAAAAGACCACGTGAATCATCTCAGAAGAAGTCTGAGAAGAAGAAGAAGAAGAAAATTAATCGGGGAGAATCTACAAAATCTCAGAAATCTTCTGCACTTGTTTCCTCTCCAATTCCTTCTAGTAAGTCTTCAGGCTCTCAATCTGTTGCATCTGGCTCTGATACTAGAAACCTTACTTC